TTATTTGATATAGTCACCCACTCCAGTGGACTCTGGGCAGCTTACAAAATAAGAATTTATTTATCTACTTGTTTATTATCTACTTGTCTATTTATATGATATATAGTCAAATAGGTGGGAGGACTAAACTGCCACTTTGGGTTGGTATTCTATAATCAGATTATAAAAACAAAACTAAGTACAATTATAATTTAAAAAGCCAACTTTGAAAGACGATACCCAGTGGAAATAAAATGCAGAAAATTGAATGTCATTCCATAATCAAATTATTTTCAAAATCCTACAGTCATCATTTGCTCAGATATCTAGCTTTCTTGCTCCTCTTTTTTTTCCTTCCCTTTGTTAATAGAGACTTTAGAAAATGTGGAATACAGCATACATTATTGTCTGTATTCCTTTAGATTTTATATTTCCACAGCTGTGAAACACAGCTAAGTGCACACATTTTGGAAAACTAACTTTGATGGATAACATAAAAAATACACAGATTAAAACTGAAAACTTTAAATCACCCAGTGATAATAGATTCCCATGGAATACCAAAGAAGCACAAATATGTACCAGCTAGTTGTATAATGAATATATCAGTTATTTGGAACACCAGGATCAAGATCAAATTTACAGTAAAACCTTGGATTGCAAGTAACTTGTTCTGCGAGTGTTCCACAAGAAGAGCAAACATTTCTAATAAATTTTAACTTGATAAATGAGCGATGTCTTGCAATACAAGTAGTACGTGACACCAAATGTCACATGATCACAACTGAGCCAGTGGTTCTCTGTCTTGCTGCGGGATTGTGGGTGATCGCTTTGATATACAAGTGCTTTGGATTACAAGCATGTTTCCAGAATGAATGATTCTCGCAAACCAAGGTTTTACTGTATTTTATTCCTTTTTATTCATTCATTTTACCATTCCATTAGTGGCAGAGAGCTATACTTCTTACAAGTGAAAGTTTGCTATCTTGTTTTCTAACATTTGGCAATGCTACTCCATTGTTTCATCCAAGAATTCCAAGCAGAGGCTGATACAGAACTGCTTCCGATGATCTCAAAGCATATGGGGAGAGGATTGGGTCTGCATGTCTAGAAGATCTTCAGAGTACAATCTATCAGCCTTTTCTATTCAGAGAAGTTACACAACCAGGCAAAATTAAGAATGCATACGTCTCCTAAAATGTAATAATTAAATATATTCCTAATAGTAGAAATTAAGAAATCTGTCTTGTAAAATATATCCTCTGCTGTTCAGTAAGACTATAGCTTCTCAGGAAAAGTGATAACTTTCTTTTAAAAGTGAGGAAAATATGAGCAGAACTGAATGCTCTTCAACTTCTATTGTCGCTTTAAATTTAATGATTTTGCAGGAGGAATTTAAACTTGCCATTAAAGTGATCATTTGGTGTTGCCTGTTTTGATGGTCAGAGGAAGCCCTGCTCTTTCATTCCTTCTTAACAGTTAAGGAACATCTATTGGACACAGAACAATTTTGTAATGATTCCTGAACAGCTGTTCCAAGATGGTTGCATTGATTCTAATGAAATGTTTGTGAAATACCGATTTCTTCTTAACTCTAGATGGAATTTCAAATAGAATTCCTTATTAGTAAAAGGAATTATAATACATATCTAACCATTTTCAGCACTCACTGTTCCACTCACTATATCATATGTGATTTTGTATCCTGATTTAGCTTTATACTTTTCTCTTAACCAAAAAAGTACTGTAGATAAATTATTTCATTCACCCTGTTTTGTTCTTGTTAATGTATTGTCATGGTACCTATTGAATGGTGGTTAATTTAAGAAAAGGCGGCATCATGAGGGCATTTAATTTTAGTTTATTCATTTTCTGTTTGTACATGTCATGTACGACATGCTACTGTTCCTTTTTTCTTTTAGTAATTTTTGTGCATTTCAATGTATTTATAAAAATGTTTTATTTTTTTCCCTTTTGGTTCTTCCTGTAATGTGGAATGTTTGTTTCTTGTGAGGTAAGCCCCTAAGAAGCTGAAAGGATTTTTTTTCCCTTCAAACTCCTAAGAAATGCTTGTTCCAACCCATGTGATGTTGTTGCCTTTTGTATGCTGCTTTAGGATGGAACTAGATGTTACAGGAACTACATCATAGTATCATGTTGAGTTTTCCCTCCATTAAATTGGCTGGTGCTTATGTGAGCACGGAAATTCACAGCAGGATGTCATGTTTCAAAATCCTGGATATTATTGGGGCGGAATGATGAGGAAGCTTAGGGGCACTTCTTGTCATAGCAGCAGCATGGCTCCCATAACTTCCAGTTCCAGCCTCATTTCCATTTCTTTGAGTTAGAGTGCTTACCAATCAGTAGGGCTTTCAATGTACTAGTCTTTTAATTAAGAAAAATAAGCACAAATGCCAGGCAGTTTTTTTTTTTCCAATTCCTCATGTGATTAGGAATATTTGAAAACTGGAATGGTGTGAAGCATCTATTTCATTTTAATATAATTCAGCATACACCTTCTGTGTTTCTCGTTTCCTTGGGGGAAAAGTGATGTTTCAAAAATTTTTATTGCTTTGAAAAGATGTCAACGTGGGGATTTTTGGCATCTTCCTCAAATAGCTAAGCTTCATTACTTTAGTTTGGATTGCTGGTGTGCACATTTTGATACCCCAGTTTTAATTAAATATGTAATCCTGAAAACATCAACATTTCTTTCTTTTTAAAATTAATTACTTAATTTGTGTTCTACTTTATACTCCAGCATGTATAAAATAGGGCATAAATTAAATAATTAATTTTATACTCTATACTTTATTACTCTAGCATGTATTCAGAGTGGCTTGCTCAGTTTGGATGAACTTTTTACAGTTTGCTAAAATATAGCTTGATATCTGAGCAGAAGCTTCTGTGGCATCCATAATAAGCCACAATGATATCAAAATAGGTGCATTTGATATTGCACACAAGACACAATTATGTGTTGTGATGTCTGAAACAAGTATTTAAGTCCAGTCATCATGATGCACATAATTATTTCCCTTCCCCCATGCTTCTATTACTTCATTCTTCCTCAGAATTCTTTAGCTTTATCTGTGTCAAGTTCTTAGTGGTCTCACTTACAAAGAAAATAAGTTTCTTCCAGAGCTCTTTTAACAAGATTTATTGAAAGGAAATATTACAAGATTACAGAAATCTCAGCATCTGGATTGTTTCCCTTTAACAATCAGGTTTATCTTCCACATTCCTAAAACAGAGACTCTCTCCACCTGTTACGGCTCTTGTGGGAACTAGCAAGGAGGCTGTTCTCTTAAATAATAAAGGGGAAATGTTCAGATACCATATCAATGTTCTTAGCATGACTTGGAAAAGGATGCCCAGTTTTAATATTTTATGAATCAGGTTCTTAAAACTCATATAAAGTATAGGATTATAGGATTTGATTAATAAACTAACATTTAACCACAGTTTCCTATTTTGTATGAAACATGCACACAGTAGTTTAGTTAATCAGGATTAACACAATGAGGAGGCAAAGACTTGAATGCATTGCCAATATCAGTCTTCCTCAATAAGATGTCCTTCAGATATATTGACCTGCAGCTCTAAGAATTCTCAGCCAGGATGGGAATTCTGGGAAGTTTATATCAGTTTGGCTGGAGAAGGTTGGTGTAGATGCCTTCAGTAATAAAAGTTTGTTTACAGAGATGGGAAACATATGACCACTGGTTCAAAGGCAAGTCTGTAGTTTTCATTGCTGAGTTAGACTTGGACTTTTGTGTTTGATATAATCGCCCAGCATTTTAGCCATTGCTCTAGTACACTATCAGACAATGTTGTTTTAAATGCAGTTCTTACAGAAGAAGGATGAATTCATTTTGATCCTGCTAATATTCAGCCAAATATAACCCAAAGAATTATCAAAAGGTAATCAGGCATATGCTTATTACACCCAAACTAAAAAGCTACAGATTCACCAAGCTTAGCAATTAGTAAAGTCGTCACTAATTTCATTTGTACTTGTATCCATCCATTGTTTTTTATGTTTAGACATGTGTAGTCCTAATGTACCAACTCCTACTGAAAGCACAATCCTTCAAATAGTGTTTTACTATGACATTGCAAGAAAGTTGCCTCATTGTTTCAGCCAAATAGTCAGCTTCAATTATTGAAGACTGATATTATTTTTGAAATGTAAGTTGCATTAATATAATCTTGTGGCAAACATGATAAGTAAAAACTTAGTGGTTCTGTTCTTGAAGCGGCAGGGCTTGCATAATTTTCCCACAATGTATTTTCTGATTTATTGATTTAGAAAATGTATATGTCATCCATTTCCTTAATGGCTCTTGACAATGTACAAAAAATAATAATAAAGTATCTTAAAAGTGAGAAATGTAAAACACAAAAACAGGAAACAGTACAATATTAAAACTTAAAAACAATTTTTAAAAGGTGAGTGAATAATTATATTTCAGTGAGTAAAGGTAGTTAGTCTTCCTAAAGTGCAGTAGGGGGAGGGAGGCTTGCTTCAGTGACAGTTTGCCCCATAAATTGGACTTCGCAATGGAAAACAAAATTAAACAATGCTATCAAATGCATTTATAGTAGGACCTGGAACAGACATCCTGTTGTTGCTGGGCGGACTTTTGGACTGCCTACTCCAGTTTAAATAGTTTGAGCCTAAATTACCAGTTACGCAGGCAGCACAATCCTTCCGCCACAAAAGAAAGATTTCATAAAGTGCAAACTCAGTTTTCAAATTGTTTATGCAGATACAGTACATGTACAGAATATCTTCTATCATGACAGCAGAATTCCTATCCATAAAATGTTTCTGTTCATAGCCGAAGTTAATAGCGCTGTGGGTAATGCTTTACTCTCATTAAGATGACTGCATTTCTCTTTGGTAGTCTGATATAATTTAGAAATACGTTTGCATTTATAATTTGGAAAGTTACTTATTCCACGTAACAGTTAAATGTATTGCTATACAAACGTCATTTATAATGCAGTGATGGTACCTATAGTGTAAATTCTAGCAACATTTGGGTTGCTATCTTATTAATACTAATTTTCCATATATCTGTTAATGTTATTCTCACATAACTTCAACAAGATACACGTGACTACAAATGAAGAATAAGGCATATCTCTGCACAAGCTCCCTAAATCTGGTTTTCTCTTGGGAAAAAAAAAACACAAAACACAAAACAAATGGCTAGGCAATGTATAAAAGCTTATTAAATACATTCATTATTCTTAAATGTATAACTTTAACCTTAAAAAAAAAAAAAACTTCCAAAGACATGTCAGAGGATAATAGGGATTAACACGCACCATTCAGTTTTCTTTGATTCTTGCTGCTTTGTCCCATTTTGGGAGACAAAAGGTTACTTGATATACTTTTTCCCATCTCCTTTTTAGTCTTTGCTGCTGAGAATTCCTAAATCACGAAATCCAAACCTTGGAATTCGGTAAGGGTGAGGAGGAAAGGAGATGAGCTTCTGAAAAATCTCAATTTGCTCAAGCCCTTTCATTTCTTTCTGATCTCAATTCTCTTCCATTGAGTATACTAAGGAGTAATTTTTTTTTTTTTTCACAAAGCAAAAGCAGGAGAGGCAGTGAAAGCATTCTACCTCAGTTCTTCACTTGCACAGCTTCAGGAATTCTTTCTGACCTATGAGTAGGATTGTTCTACCACTCATCTATAAGCAATGTGGATATAGTTTATCATACATAGTACTCTAAGAGTAATAAGTGTGTCCTTCTTTTAGATAGAAGGAAGGAATTATAGTCAGAAAAGTTTTTAAATCAACAAACAACAATGTAATGTGGTACAAAAATATGATCTATAATTTTCTCCAGCTTTGTCTGTTTCTCCCTTTTTGTGTACTTCACATACCAAGATGGTGATAGTTCTGAGTAAGAGCTGGATATTATATTTTCAAACATGGAAAATCATAATTTGCTTTTTCTTATCAACAATCCAAGGGATTCTGCTAGATACTTGGTAAAATCTCGTTTAAACTTCACAGTACCTGGTAGGAACTAAATCACCCCTCCACAGCTTCAAAAAGTTTTATAAGATTCATAATTGTTGTTTGTTTAATAAAGATATCACGCTAATATAGAAATACTTTGCTAAGAGGTAGTGGAAGGGTGAAATGACAAATAATGATAAATGGAATTTGCAAAAAGAAAGAAAGAAAAATATTTTTCATGGTTTTCTTGTTGAATTAGTCAATTGACACTGTTTCTTTCCTTCTGATTTATAGCAGCCAAGAGTTTACTGAAGAAACCTGATGGAGTAAAGGTAGGTTACAAATATCAAGGGCAGCTAATGATATTCTCACTCATTTTTCACTAGCACATCACCTTCTAAATTCTGTTCCTTTGGGCACTAATATAACTGGCCCTGTTCTTCATTAAGAAGTCTATATGTGTATACACAAGCGCCTGCACACACACATACATAGTGAATACTCACTCTTGAGGATAGTATCACCACTGCCCTGTTGTCTTTTCAGAAAACAGTTAAGAGAATACTTTTCCAATTGGCCTTTGGGGCAGCAAGTGATATTTAGCTAGAAGTAGGTGAGCCAGGGAGAAATTATTTTACTTAGTTCAAAGGCAACATAATGTGTTTTACTTGTTGAGTTTCTTAATGTTTCAGAGTTGTATATGTTTTGATTTTTATTGTGAGCTGCTTAGAATCTTATCTTAGGAAGGGGCAATGTATAAATTAATGTATTAATTAATTTAATTACCCCTTTCTAGTCATTTTAATGATGTAGCCATTTTTGAATAGCAGCCATTTTATGTTACTAACATTCCATTTCTCAGAAAATTATCACAAAGTTTACCGATCATTGACCTACATTCTGCCAGAAATAATCAGTGTGTCTGGGCAGAAAGTAATACATTTTAAGATCCCAGCTACCACGTTCAGATTGAGTAAGCAATATTAGTAAGAAATAGAAAAAGTTTGTAGCTTTCCTGTATAATGTAGAATTTCTGAGCTTGTGGCCTTAGAATTCCGTGCAAGGAGAGATTGTTTCCATATAAAATGTTTTAGGTAATAAATTGAAAATTAGCTTCAGAAAAATAGGAAAAAAATCCAAGATTATTAGCGTTAAATAAAATGTTTCAGCTATTATCAGAAGTGTAATTTCTATGGAACTTTCTCTTTATTAGAACATTCTTTAAGCTTTTACTCTTGCATTTACTTTTCTTAAATCTGACATTTGAAGTATCTAACTCATTGTATGTTTTCTTTGAATTTGTGATACGTATATGTTTAAATATTTCATGTATAGGCATATTGGTAGCCTAAGCCAGCCACTCAGTAACAGCCAAATTCAATACGATTCTTTTCTGGACCCGGTCGATGCACTTCCCAAGACCTATTGCAGAACATTATTTGCTGTACTGAGAATTATACCCTACTCCTTTTTCCATTAACCCCAATGACTATCTCAGACTTCTCTGTGTCCAAAATCTATCCTTTCCAGTGGAATAAAATGGCTGCTTTTTTTCCACTGTTGGACAGTTCAGTAGAAATATCTGTATCTGTAATATGCTCCAATCCAGGTGGTTCAATAGTATTTTTATTGCAGATCTGTAATAGTCTCTGTCAGAATTGGTCTGTTTAAACAGAAGTGCTGATGATAGTTACTACCAGCAATTTGCAGGTATTATTCTGGGAGTGGGGGTGTTTATGCCTGGTATTCAGGATTCTTTCTCATATCTGTTCTCATAGGGCATCCTGAACGGAGAATATGTATTCATTTTCCAATGCCTGTTTAAACAGGAGATTCTATTCGTATGCAGAATATTTCTCCCATTTCTGCAGATTAGGCATTTTCAAAACAAGCAGCCAAACTACAACAAATATGCTGTTCTCCATGCATTGATTCTATAAATCCAACCAGTCATATTTTCTTCTTTTCCTTTCTCTCTGACTGGTCATATCAGAAAAGGAAGTCCAGTTCGAGTGTTCAGATGATGGTGAGGATCTTTATCTGCCAGACTTTTCATCCTATGAAATGTTCACACTTAGAAATGAAATAGATGTATTTATCATAGATTTGGTAATGTAACATCAGAAGCTACAAGACTTTTAAAATACACTCTTGTGACTTCTGCATCACTGTGGTGTTACATCCTAAATTAATCATTTGCAATTCGTTTACACGCTGTGCAAATATTGGTGTGAAACAGATGGATCACTGGCCATGACCCTATTCCAATACAGTAGCATTGTTATTTGAAAGCCTTCATATTTTTGCTGTAATCTTCTTGTACTTAAAGCAGATAGCTTTCTGGAAGGTAAAGGAAAAAAAGTGACATATTCTTTCCAAAAGTCTTAGAAGCTAATAGTAATCTGGTAGGTGTCAATGAAAAACTATCACTGGAGCCACCACCTGGTGGTGGATATTGTGCAATATTTGTATCAAATAATACAGTCTGGTTTCTGTTATCACACACTTACTTTAAATATAATTGAGAATGACAGATGTTGAATCAGATAATTCGACTCAGTTTATTTCTGTAGTATTTATTTTATGAATAAGATTTCTCTATTTTTTAATAAAACTTGTTTGAAGGGCTAGTTTTTATTTTTTTTTTCTAGTATTTTTCTGTAAAACAATATTTTTTTAAGTGCTTAGGACTGCGGATCTGGATTCATAGATATTTATCCATAGATACAAGAAGCAAATTAAAAACAAGTTACTATCAAATATTGCTGAGTATCATAAATGGTTAATTCAAATCAAACAAAATAAAATGACATATTGGTGAATAGTAAATGTTGAATCCTACTTGACTATGGTTTGTGTATTTTCTGGGGGATTTTAAATCTTCGTTAAATGTTTAAATGATTTAAATATTGTTGTAATATTAAATATTGCAGTACTGTTGTAAAAATAGCTAGAAGTGTTGTCAGTGAATCAGTCAGTTAATGTTGATTTCCCTGTCAGAATAGAGTCTTGATTTTTCTATTTCTGTCATGTTTGTAATTCATCTGCAAAAGATGCAGTCTGTCTAAATTAAGACAAGAGGAAGTATTTTTATCCTGCTGATTTGTGGGCCATGAGTCTTTATGAAGGGGGCTTGCACATTCATTTTAGAAGGTATTGATAATATTACTTTGGAACCCTAAAAATGCAATTAGCTTCTAAAACCTTTTTCTAAATGTTAGTCCTTTTTTTTTTTTAAAAAAAGCATACAATTACATGCACTGAAGGTGATAACTCTCATTATTACTGAAAATAAAGCTCTTCAGTGTAATTTATGAGCAGTTTGTATATACTTATACAAGGACTATCCAGGTAGAGCCTTTAAAGTACATGTAAATCTTCAAAGGTATTTGCACCAGTGATGTACAGGTGTACATTAGAAAGTATTTTCTGTTGTCTAGATATCCTTCTCGAGATTAAAATTGCTTGGCTAATACTTAATATTTTATTCCTGCTCAGGATTTTGAAAAACTATATATTTTTTTCTTTTTCTCTATTTTTAAAGTACTAATTTTGTGGTATGCCAACTTGTGTTCATATTAATTTTATGACTTTCTTTTGTTATGAGCTTGCTTGCAATTATAAGATACTTTCTTGTGTTACACAGAAAAAAGCATGAAATGAGTTTTTTCATCCCCTTTTAATTCCAAATAAATCTGTAATAAGAAAAATTGTTTAATTGAAATGGTACGAAGTTCCTGAACAATATAGGAGTGATATAAAGAGAAGTCATAGAAGTGCAAAGTGGGGCCATTGTCTGTAGACATGTCTATAAGTCATGTTTGTAAATTGCCTAAATTGCAATCTATAGAACTTAACAGAACTAGTATGATTTTTTTGTCATACTGCAGACCCCATTTTTAAAAATTATTACTGTTTATTGTTAATACTGTTATTTCTGTTAAATGCATTGTGAATATTTCCCCTTTTAAGCATGCTGTAAATGGTTAAAGACAAACATAGTGGGTGTATCCCTCACCATGTTGTTACATCTCAGACCTAAGCCATCACAGAGTTTCATTTATTTTATACATTTCTGTGAAATGATTTATTGTTTTTATGAGTGAGGCTAATAGCATCTTTTTGCCTTAAGCTACCCTTTGAATTCCAATTTTTTATCATCTGCCCCGCTGTGTTGAAATAACCAGCTCAGATTCATCATCTTTGGGGCTTCAGCTTTTTACCCCCATTAGTGCTTTTTTAAAGAATAGTAATACATTTCACATCTCAGTGTAGTCTGCAAGAATAGTACTTGTGTTACCCATTAAGAAGTCTGAATGTGACATCATTAGCTGCCTGTATTGATCTAATGTTGAACAAAGAAGATGAGTGAAAAACAACAGTATTGTTTTCCTTTTACATATATTGTAAAAGTGTTAATGGAGCAGTAAATAATTCTGTTTTGCTGACCGGTTAAACTTTTTGTCTGATCAACTTTATTGTTTTGATTGCTGCTTCCATTCTGCAGTCTGTGTGTCTCTGTGTGTGTTTATGCATGAATATACATATAGACGCACATATACCCATGCCTGAAAAAATATATATTTATGGTCGTTTTAAATTTTACTTTGTATACGATAAGGAAAAATGAACCAAAATTTCAAAATTACACTTAACTTTTCTTATATACATATAACTGCAAGGCAGTTTTTTAAACTACTGATACAAAATATTAGCTATTTTTTTAGGGTGCAGTGTGGCACGTATGAGTTTTCAGTTCTTAAGAGTTTAAAGCTAATTCATAATATGGGTTAAACTGCAAGATTAATTTGTGTACAGAGAAACAGCCAGTTTTGGATCAAATGATCTTCTATTATGTTAGCTAACTTTCTATGTAATTCACCTTAACGTGGTTGACAGACAAAAATTTTTTTAAATATGTCTCAATGTGTTATGAATACTGTATGTTAATTATTCATTAATTATCTGAGCTATGTTCATTCATTCAGATCATGCTTAAAGTTATATTTTAGGAAACCAACCTTTCTGTCTACATCGATTTTAAAGGCTCAATATAAAGGAGATATTTGCTATAAGATATTACTAACATTTAAGTAATAAATGTTTTATAGTTGATTGAAGTGATATTATATTGTGCTTAAAATTTAGGCTGAACTTCAGATCAGAACATTTTTCTTCCTTGACAGTGGGATAACATAATTTTTTTCACATTTAAGAGATATTACTTAACAGCAAAATGAAATTAATATTTTTTCTGAAATAAGAAATGTTTTCCTTATAAGTATCCTTAGGATGCCAATCTAAGAATACATATCTATTAAAGGATAGATAC